TGTGTGTGTGTGTGTGTGTGTGTGTGTGTGTGTGTGTGTGTGTGTGTATGTATATATATACACATATATATATGTATGTATATGAAAAGAAAAAGGGTTAAGAACTCCTGGTCTAGATGGTCTAAAGTCTCTTCCAGGCCTTCAAGAGGTGGTCCTCAGCACAAACCAAATCACTGAAATGGCTGCCTGGCTGTTTTGAAAGCCCTGCAGAGGGGAGGATGACTCAGTACCAAGCATTCTTTCAGGTTTTTAGAGCCATGAGTTTTGGTGTTTTTGAGGGGGAGAAAGTAGGGTCTGAATGACCGAATAATTTCTCTTATGAATTGTTTCTGTCCATGGCCAGCCCCCCACCCCTCAAAAAAAGCTTCCACTTTGCTATATACTATACTATATTTACTATAGACTGTATACTACACTATATTTACTATAGACTGTATACCATACTATACTATACACTGTATATTATACTAGATTTACTATATACTATGCTATATTTACTATAGACTGTACAGTATACTAAATTTACTATAGACTGTACAGTATACTAGATTTACTATAGACTATGCTATATTTACTACAGACTGCATACTATACTATACTAGATTTACTATAGACCATATACTATGCTATATTTACTATAGACTGTATACTATACTATACTAGATTTACTATAGACCATATACTATGCTATATTTACTATAGACTGTATATCACACTATACTATAGACTGTATATTATACTAGATTTACTATATACTATACTAAATTTACTATAGACTGTACAGTATACTAGATTTACTATAGACTGTACAGTATACTAGATTTACTATAGACTATGCTACATTTACTATAGACTATATACTATACTATACTAGATTTACTATAGACCATATACTAAGCTATATTTACTATAGACTGTATAGTACACTAGATTTACTATAGACTGTATACTATACTATACTAGATTTACTATAGACCATAGACTATGCTATATTTACTATAGACTGTATACTATGCCATATTAACATAGACTATATACTATACCATACTATGTACTGTACTATACTATACCATACCATATTTGCTATAGACTTTACTATGTAGACTATAGACTATACTATATACTATATTATACTATACTTACTGTATACTATAAAGGGTGTGAGGCCTTGGAGGCTGCTGAGTCCAAATCCCTTGTTTTACAGATAAGGACCCTGAGGTCCAGAAGGGAAAGGGATCTGCCTCGGGTTACACAGCTCTTCAGTAACAGAGCCGAGTTCCCTGTGCCGGCTCTCCTTCTGAATTCCCTGGGTCCCTCCCCGCCTTTGTGGGGGGTCCCCGGAGAGCCGAAGTGCAGGTATATGTTTTGTCTGTGAAATGAGGAAGTTGAAATGATGTTCTCCATTCGAGGTCTATGATCCTGTGATCTTTTTCCTAGTCAGAAGTCAAGCAGGGGTTTCTGCTGAATTTAAAAACGTCAGAGCCGAGCATCTCTTATACACATGGGTGAGGAGGTCTCAGCTAGGCTCCTCTAGGGATCTCAGCCCGGCATCCCTTCTGGGACCGGATTGCCTGTCATCAGTGGGAGCTTTGGCACTTAGTGCATTTGTGGGGGGGTCTGAGGGAGGAGAAGCAACAGTGACTTGGGTCCCTGGCCCCTGGGGTCTAGGGAAGTGATGAACCTGACTGGCTGAAAGCTGCTTGCCTCACCCTCCCCTGTATCCCCCTCCACCCAGCCCTGGACCCTTCCTGGAGGGATTGGCGGAAGGTGGACCAGCCACATGCTGCCCCTGAGCTCCAGGGACACCCATGTGCTCTCCTAAATTACAGGGCTTGGTCCAGGCCGCCTCCAGGAAGCTGCCCCCTGCAAGGTGCCCACAAACAAATTACTTTAAAAATAGGGTCTGTGTGGGGCAGGCTGAGTGGTAAGTGGAGCCTGGCTGGGCCGGGCTGGGTGAGGGCCGGGAGCAGAAAGTTTGTAGTGGGCTGGAACAAGCCACAGGATGGGTTACACCCCTGTCCCCGCCCACAGCTTCCCAGATTGGGGAACAGGGCAAGGAGGAAGAGGTCCGAGGGAGTGCTCAGAGCTGGGCAGAAGTCAAATAGGGGGTCCTGCTGAATGGAAAAACCTTAAACCATCATGGAAAACCGGGAGGCTTTCCTGCCACCCAAAAACATAACTAGGGTGAGGCAGGTAAGACTGCCCTGGTTACCAACGTGTGGGGTGGGGGAAACACTTCCTTCCCATCCCAGGACAACTAGCCTTTTGTTCAGAGGAGTCATAGGGGTGGTGCATCCTAGGATTGGCCCAAGGAGCCATGTTTGGGGCAGGGCAAGAAGGAAACAAGGTAGGCTGTCTCTTCTAGGACCACGGTTCAGTTCTTATTATCTGTGTGGGTGGTGGAGAGAGCGCTGAGCCTGGGGTCAGAAAGAATCCCATCCTAGACCAGTCGTTGGACAGGTCAGTCCACCTTGATGGGGCTCAGTTTCCTTGCTGATAAAATAAGGGTATTGGATCTCTAGGGTCCCTGATCCTCAAGGGTCTGCCTGGGCCACCCCCCCTTTTTCCAATAACTAAATCTGCCTACACATAGAAGGCGCTTCATGAATGTGCCCATTAACTACTGCCAGGAGAGTTAATCATAGCTCTGTCTGGCCTACCCCAGGCCCTGGGGCAGGGCATTTTACAAAAACCTAAGCAGGAGACTCAATTCAGCAGACATCAACAAATCACCTACTATGTGTAAGGCACTGGGCATACAAAAGCAAAAAAAGAGACAGTCCCTGCCCTCAAGGAGCACAGACAAGTAAATACAAGGCAATGACCCCAGCTAGCATGTACCTCAAGCTTAAGATATGCAATAATATTATCTCATTGTTTGAGGCGGGAAAGACCACCTACAACTTTCAGGTGCGGGAGGGGGTTTGAATGATGGACTTCTTCATGGAGGATCTTAGAATTAGAGCTCAAAGGAACCTCAGAACCCATCTAGTTCAGCCCCCTCATTTTACAGATGAGGAAACGGAGACCCATGGAGCCCATTTTACAGATGAGGAAACTGAGGCCCATAAACATGACATGTCCAAGTAGTAATATCAAAGGGTCATAGATTTAGCACTGGAAGGGACATCAGGGACTCTCATTTTACAGGTAGCTAAAAGATGTAGGGAGACCAAAGGCCGGGAGTTGAACTCCAAATCTGTCGTCTTCTGAGTCCTCACTCTGGGAAGCCCAGGTGGCTGCCTTCTCCTTCCCTGCCCTGACCTCTCCTTTCCTCCCCTCGAGCACTCACCTCTTGGGCTGTCTTCTGTCTTGACTGGGATGAGGGGACTCTGGGGGGCTGAGTCACCACTCAGGGAGTAACTGTGCTCCGCCTGGATGCCCGGGGTGGGTGGGTCCAGCTCCATGTCCAACAGTGGGTTCTTCTCAGCCAGGATGGGGTCATCAAAGAAGCTGCTGAAGAGGTCATTGGAGAAGTCCTCCATGTTTTCTGAGAAGTGCTCCAGGTGCTCTGGGAAGTGCTGGCAGAGGGAGAAAGGGGAAAAGAAGACAGAAGGTCATTGTCTCCAAGCAGCTAAAGCATCCATTCAATTCAATTCAGTTCCTGCTACAGACCAGGCTCTTGGGGATACACAGGTGAAAACTGTGTACTTTTATTAAAAATGTGGCATTTTACGGTCTCTTTCCTCAGGGGCCCTAATGGGAGACAGGGGATATGACTTGCTTATAGACAAATATACAAATTCAGGAGTGATGGGGAGAAAGGAGAGAAACAGACAAAGTCTCAATGGGAAATTTGTGGAGGGAGCAAAGACCTTTACTGTAACACAGTACATAGACCAGGGTCTCTGCGTGACCTTGTGCTAATTAACTCTTCTATCAATGACTTGGATACAGCCATAAATGGAATGGTTATCAAATTTTCAGATAACACAAGGCTAGGATATATAAACAATACATTTGAGAGTAGAGTCAAGAGTTAAAGAGATTCTATAGGTAAGAGGGGCAGCTAGGTGGTACTTGGACGGAACACTAGGCCTGGAGTCAGGAAGACTTCTCTTTGTGAGGTCAAATCTGGCCTCTGACACTGACTAGCTGTGTGACCACTTAACCTTGTTTGTCTCAGTCTCTTCATCTGTAAAATGAACTAGAGAAGGAAATAGTAAACCACCCCAGTATCTTTGCCAAGAAAACCCCAAATGGGGTCACGAAGAGATGGGTATGACTGAACAACCATAACAACTAGGTGAAAATATTGGGTGGAGTTGAATAAAATGAAGTTGAATAAGTCTAAATGTAAAGACCAACACCTGGTGCAAAGAATCAATTTCAGTAGTCCGGGATGAGGGAAAATGGCTGAACAGTAGTTCGAATGGAAAACATTTGTGGGTTTTAGTGGTCTTCAAGTTCATTTTCAGTTAATAGTCTGATAAAGCAGGCAAGAAAGCTAATGTAGTAACCTTTGGTTGCATTGATTTGCATCATCTTGAGGACTAGGGAGATGATAGCTCCACTTTACTCTGTCCGGGCCTGATCATACCTGGAATATGATGTTTAGTTCTGAGCATCGAATGTTAGGAAAGTTGATAAGTTGAAGGGTCCAGAAAAGGAGAATAAAGATTGGGAATGGCCCTGGAGATAGTGCTTTATGAAGGATGAAGGAACTGGGGGTGTTGATCATGGAGAAGAAAAGACGGTGAGGAAATTGGACATGATAGCTGTCTTGAATTATTTGAAGGAATATGGAACATTGGAACATTTCAAGATTTATTCTGCTTGACCCAAGAGAGAAGAATTAGTAGTAACAGGTAGCAAACTTGGGCTCAATATCAGGAAAAAAACTTTTTAACAATTAGAGTTATCCAAAAGTGGAATGGACTGCCTTGGGAGATCTTGGGTTCCATTTGCTTGTGATCTTTTTTTTAAAAAAAAATTCAATTTTATTTATCTCAATCAATGAAAATTTCCCTTTTTCTCCTCCCACCTCCCTCTCCTCCACTGGGAAAAACAAACCCCCTGTTACAAGCATGTGTAGTCAAGCAAAGCAAATTCTCACAATGGCCTCATCCAAAAAATTATGTCTCCATCATCTCTGTGGAGGTGGGTAGCATGTTTCATCTTAAGTCCTTTGGAATCATAGTTAGTCATTGCATTGATCAGAGGTCTTAAGTCTATCAAACTTGTTTGTCTTTACAATATTGTTGTTATTGGATAAAATGTTCTCCTGGTTCTGTTCACCTCACTGCATTAAATCATACAAAATCTTCCCATGTTTCTCTAAAATCATCCCCTTCATCATTTCTTACAGAACAATAGTATTCCACCCCATTCATGGACCATATATAACTTGCTTGGTTATTCCCTAATTGGAGAGCACCTCCTTAGTTTTTACTAGTGGCCTTGAAGCAAAGTCTGATGCAGAGCTACTTCTGAGGGTGACTGTCAATGATATACTTGGTGAGGGAAGGGATGGGTTAAGGTGTCTCTGAGATGTCTTCCAATTCTGAGATTCTGTCCTTACTGCTCCTGGAAACTCTTATCTACTACATGAGAAGTCAAGACGCTGTTGAATGGGTCTCCACCACCCACCTGTCTTTGGTTCCATCTGTTTGATAAAGGAGAAGAAGCTGATATAGTCCATGCCACCTAGGAGCACTCAGGCTACCGAGGATGACTAGAGTAAATGCAGAGGACCCAATTAGATAATAACATAAAGAAGCATAATGAGACTTCTTTTTTTATTATATTTCATTCTGAGCAATTTGGAACTACGCCCAAAGGGCTATAAAAATGTGCATACCCTTTGACCCAGCAATAGCACTTCTAGGGCTATATCCCAAAGAGATCACACAAATGGGAAAAGGGCCTCCATGTACAAAAATATTCATAGCAGCTCTTTTTGTGGTGGCAAAGAATTGGAAATTGAGAGGATGCCCATCAACTGGGGAATGGCTGAGCAAGTTGTGGTATATGAATGTGATGGCATACTGTTGTGCTGTAAGAAATGATGAACAGGCTGACCTCAGAAAAACCTGGAAAGACTTGTACATTCTGATGCTGAGTGAAGTGAATAGAACCAAGAGAACGTTGTAACAATAACAGCCATGTTGTGTGATGACTAATATTGATGAACTTAACCCTTCCTGGCAATACAAGGATCTAAGACATCTCCAGAGGCCTTGTGATGGAAAATGCTATCCACACCCGAAGAAAGAACTATGGAAGCCGAATTGTTATTTTTTTTTCTTCTGTTGAGTTTTGTTCCCTCTTTCTGATGGTTCCTCCTATTGATTTTAATTTCTACTTATTATATTTCATTCTTCCCTAATTACATGTAAAAACAATTTTTAGGGGTAGCTAGGTGGTGCAGTGAATAGAGCATCAGCCCTGGAGTCAGGAGGACCTGAGTTCAAATCTGGCCTCAGACACATGATACTTACCAGCTGTGTGACCCTAGGCAAGTCACTTAACCCCGATGGTCTCACTACCAACAAAAACAAAACAAAAAAAACCCCAATTTTAAACACACTTCTTTTAAAGTTTTGAGTTCCAAATTCTATCCCTCCCTTCCTCCCTCCCCCCTTCCCTGAGAGGGTAAGTAATACATGCAGTTTGTGTATGCAGGCAGAGACTCCTGATAGTAGTTGTAGAAATAACGGCACTAATAATGAATATTTTTATTGCAGGCGATGTTGTTACTGTTCTGCTGATGAGGAGGCTAGACTCTAAATCTTTTTTTTTCTTTTTCTATTTTTTTTTTTAGGCAATTGGGGTTAAGTGACTTGCCCAGGGTCACACAGCTAGTAAGTGTCAAGTGTTTGGTCTGAGGCCGGATTTGAACTCAGGTCCTCCTGACTTCAGGGCCGGTGCTCTATCCACTGCGCCACCTAGCTGCCCCTAGACCCTAAATCTTGTCTGATGTCCTGCAAACTAGTAAAGGGCATTGTTGGGGTCAGAGGTCCCAACTTTGAATCCTTCCTCTGCTACTTATTGCCAGTGTGATTGTGGAGAAGTCACTTGACCCCTCTGAGACTCAGTTTCCTTATTTATAAAATGAAGGGTTGGACTTTATGACTTCTCAGTCACTTCCAGCTCCAGGACCAAGATGCCATGACCTCAGCCACCATCAAATCCAAAGGACCTACTCGAGAATCCTTTTGACACCATCCTTGTGAGTAGTTCCCCAGACTTGTAGTGATAGGGAGCTCATTCATCACAAGACAGCCCATCCAGGCGGGTTGCTGTTGAATCATTTCAGTTGTGACCCCATTTGGGGTTTTCTTGGCAAAGATACTGGAGTAGTTTGCCATTTCCTTCTCCAGCTCATTTTACAGATGAGGAAACTGAGGCAAACAGGATTTGTCCAGGATCACACAGCTAGGAAGTGTCTGTGGCTGGATTTGAACTCAGGTCTTCCTGACTACAGGTCCAGTGCTCTATCCACTGAGCCACCAGCTGCCTCTATGTCCCATTAAGAACAGTGATGAAAAAGTTCTGGCTAATGCTGAGCTGAAATATGGCTTAGTTCTTAGAATGCTCCTCATTCTTCTTTGTCTAATTGGACATGCCCAATCCTTCTTCCACTGGGCAGCCTTTCAGATACTTGAAGGCAGCTTCCATGTTCCCTCCCCTCCACCCAGTTTTCTCATCTCTGTGCTAAACATCCCCAGTTCCTTTGATTGATTGTACTAGAGCTAAAAGACCCAAAGCCCCAGAACACCCTGGAACTGTAAATGGGCTACAATTCCTAAGCCGAGAGCCAGGCCAAGGGATTCCTTAGCCATGACTGTCCCGAGTCTGGCCAGGCACTAAAAGGCTCCCTTTCCAGCAGCCACAAATATCACGGAACCACAAAATCAGATTCACAGAATTTCAAAATCAGAAGGGAGCTCAATGGCCACCTCACCTGACCTGTACTGAGAAAATATCCCCTCTCCAACGTATCTGATGAGTAAGTAGTCATCCAGCCTCTGCCCGAAGAGCTCCAAGGAGGAGAATCCTACTATCTCGTTCTACTCTTCAACAGTTCTAGTTGCTAAAAAGTTCATCTAGCTCGAGCCTGACTCTTTGAAATCTCCCCCCATGCTCCCGATTCTGCCCTCTGGGGTGGACAGAGCAGAGCTCAACCCTCTTCCCTATAACTGCCCTTCAAATACCTGAAAATGGCTATTATATTCCACTTATGTCTTTTCTCCAGGATTAACACCCCCAGTTCCTTCACTTAATCCTGATTATGGCATAACCTTGAGGCCCTTCCTAATTCTAGTGGCCCTTCTTTGGATGTTCAGAGCACGCAGAATTGAACACCATACTCTCAGTGTGGTCAGACAAAGGCAGAGTATAGCAGGACCATCGTTTCTTTATTCCTGGAAGTTCTGCCTCTTTCAACGTGACCCAAGATCACAGTGGCTTTCGGGGCTACCATTTCCCACTATTGACATACTGAATTTGTGGTCTACTAAAATCCCAGATCTTTTTCTGACCGATGACTGTCTAGCCACGTCTCCCTCAGTAATCCCCT